GCTGGTACGCACGGGGCGACTTGGAACGCGTTTCGCTTCCCAGTGAGATGCAAAATTAGCTTTGCATGTTCATTTAAAGAACGAAGCCGAGACCTCCGAAAGCCCGCCTCTTCGTTCTAAAATAGTAAGCTGTGTACACCTCATTTCCAGCACCACTTGCCACCTACCTGTAGGGCAGAAAGCAAAAGTCCTAAAAGAGCTAAAATTACACCTCTGATAGGGACTGGAGAAAACTGATACTGCTTAACTTGGAGACATCACCCGCAAAATCCTTCCACGAGAAAAGAAAGCCTACTTTTATCTCCCAACCTCAGTCTGTACAGATTGAAGCTGCATAGGCAAATATGATAATTTAGATGCCTCTAAAAGGGTTTCATATTTCATAAAAACACAAGTGGGATACAAAATTTGCTCCACATTGTGTAGAATACATAACGAACTCAGTAAATACAGCACGTGTTGCCTGGATATATTTTTTTCTGGGAAGCGTTGTCTTCACAGTCCCCTGCGTTTTAAATATAGATGAGCCTGCTTGTAGAGGTACATATTATCACATGCTACTCCAGAAGAGATTTTTCACATGTCTGAATGTTTTTTCCATTGGAAAGATGTACTGAATCTTTTGGCAAACTGGCTTTTTCTTCTCTATCTGTAATCAGTGGCTACATTTCCCTTTTCTCCTTCCAGTGCAGCCACAGCCCTTCTAAAGCAACAGCCGTAGGGGGAAAAAAAAATAAAAATCTACCCTAATAATTTCTCAAGTGACAACTACCACAGGAGAGTACTTATATCATCGCGTGCATCGAATTTTCTCTTCGTGATGGTCTAAAATTCATTAAATATTAACATCACCCGGTGTGAGAAACATACAAATCACAATGAGGGCATCAAATCACAATTCAGGCATCCAAATAACACCAGGGAACTTGCTAAAATACTCTGAACACGCAAAAAGTTTCATCTCCTTTATAAAATGAAGACAAGAGGTGACAGCAGCTGAACTTCACACTCAATCCCTGCTACAACTCATTCAGTTAACAGGAACACGTACTGAAATCATACCTAAGGCAGGGCAGTTACGGAGCAATACACGCAGATTTGTTACACGCTTTTACTTTTTCTCTAACAACAACAACAAAAAAAGTGCAATCATCACTAAAGCACCTTCAGCATACTAAAACTTACCTCCGAAACAACATCTGCGGCAGGAAATTATTAGCTGTGGTGTGAGCTGGCTGTGTCCGTGCCTCTTGCATGGTAGCACCAGTGGCGGGGTGAGGAATTTGCTCATCTTCCTTGCTTGAAACACCTGCTGAAACGGGACTCAGCCCGCCTGGCCCATGCCACACCGCACCTCACAGACTGTTAGCTGCCCAGCGGCAGAGCCTGCTGAGGACTCGCGCTGCCTCTGGGCCTCCCGATGCCCTGGTTCCCTATCTCCCCTCTCATCGGGGAAGAGGGGAGATGCTCGTTGTTAGCGACAACCTCTGTTTCTTCCCGATACTGATAATGGTGACATGTCACGGAGAAAGACTGCTCTCTCATTTAAATCTCTCATGAAGTAAAACTCAGCCTAGGAGGGAAACATGCCAGCTTAATCCTCCCGTCTTCATTTCACCCATTCAGTGCTACAGCTATGGCATTTGTCTCAGCTTTTTACCTCTCCCTTACTCTATCTCCCAAGTCTAACTTAGCAGAGGTCAGCATGCTTTCTGGGTGCAATGCCACAATAAGTACTGTTTCAAGGGCTTTTTTTTTTTTCCCCCTTTTGCATCCCTGCTTAAAAACAAACTCATATTTCCAAGCAACGTTCAAAGCTGTGGTAATTTTAGCAAAATCAGAGGGTCACACTGAAAACTGTGTCCTGCTACAGGATATGCACAGAGACGTTGTTGTATGCCAGCAGTTAAAACAGAAGTCATGTCATCAAAACCCTTACCTCTTTCGTATAAGCACTACGCGGTTGTTATTGAAAGGATACGTTCATTAGTTCTGTTTATTGGTCAGCCTGGGCTCATCCAGCTTGATGGAATGGTAGCTGTTCACAAACACCATTTTGTACGTAATTCAGCTTCCGCTCCAGTGATGCTTTCCCAGCAGTCAGCCATTAGCTGGTCATAAAAAAGGTTCAACTTAGCACCCACCTAAAATGAAAAAAAAAAAGCTTTACGGTTAACAATAGTAACAGTGGAGAAGATGGCAGTGATCACATTCACATCTATCTTCGTGATTATCTGCTTTACTGGCAAGTCAAAATCGCTAGAAAGACCATTTTTTCCACGGGCTAGAGAATTCTTCCAGAAGTGGAGGAAAGCACCGAATCACTAGAATTCACATGTATTTTCTTTTGTTCAAGAATTTCACTCTTCTAGGTCTCAGGCACGGGCCTTCCCAAGGCTCCCTTCACCACGCAAGAAAGCGCGCAATAAAACGTGCTACGTCGGAACGTGTATACATCGGCACTGGGAATGCCCCTGCTTTTATTACTTTTATGTTGCTACGCGTTCTTTTAACACAGTTTCTTTGTATTTATGAGACGCCTCAAAATAAAGAAGAAAATATGCCAGTGTAAACTGGCACCACTCCCTGTTTCCAGTTCTGTTTTGCTGAATGACTACTCATTCACAAGGCACCGAAGGCGATTCGCCTATCGGGCTGAGCTTACGCATTTCTATTAACATTTTACTAAAGATAAAGAACTCTCGCTCCAGTAACTTACACGATCAAAAAGAAGGTCACGCACATTTGCTGTAGTTGGAGGCGTGGGTCCGACCAGCTGCAACCCTGCAAATTCTTTCAGAGACACCTGTAATTTGGGAAAGTATCTTCTTATCACTGTGCATCAGCACACAGCGATCGGGAAGCTGCGCAGTCACTCACAGGACCGTGATGGAGGCATCGCACCTTCGCGCAGGAGAGCGGATGGGAGTAACGCTGCTGTTCATCCCTCGTGGCTGATGAGGTCTTCACAGTTCAGTCGTACTGAGCTGGGCTGCGGCCTTTCAAATGCTTATGCCTGTTCACTCATTTCTGTGCTTAACCGTGTTTTAAAGTTAAGAGTATCTACCCACATGAACAAACAGTGTTTCTTGCATGGACTCTTTTCCTCCAGGACATAATGTTAATAAACCTTGAGACTGGCCTGAGTATATCACAGAGGTGCTCTCGACAAAGCTCCCCCACTGCAAAATATTCGGAAAGCTAAATGGATGTAAATGAGGCCTTGCGACCACACTAAGAGGTTTTAAAACTGTAACAGGATTAAAAATGGCATATGGTCAAAGTCCTTAAATAAAAGGACAGTACAAGAAAGTATCTAAAAGTTACAGTGAGACTTACTTGAATAAATGTTTATAAATTTTATCAAACAACTCATCATTCTGACAGTTTTCCATAAACCCCTGGAACATGCAAAGCATTTAATTTATTTGTGGCAAGATAAAGATGATGAGTAACATTTTAGAAGTTTAACAACATAGAATGTCCTGGCACAGTCAAACTTGCATACTTCCATTGTTTAAATTATGTTTTCTAAGAATTCAAAAAAAGTTAGCCTTAAAAAGAGGAGTTTCTCATTGCAAAAGTCTTCACAAGGATCCTCGTCATCTGTATTCGTACAAACGCAAACCAAACGGACAGAGCATAAACTGAAACGGATATAAACGCCACCAGTACCTCAAACTGAAAAATACTTCTATGCAGCAGAAAATCTCTCTCCAACATGGAGACAACGGGACTGCTGCAGTAGCCCATATCAAATACGCCAAAGCAACAAAAAAAAGTAAATTATAACAGAAAGGCGGATGCTGTCTTAACTATGGGATTCCCAGCAGAAGCTATTCCAGAGGCCATAGGCCAAGCAAACAGAACGAAGTGCCATAAGCTTATACTCCTTTTTTTGTTACTTTGCTGCTGTAAATAGTTTGTCTTCCAGAAATAGTAAAAATTATTTTGTGCGAGTTATGTGGTTTTGTGTTAGGTTTACCCTTGAACATCTGCTGCGTCTGACAAAGGACAAAAGCTAATGAAATCCCATGAAGAGTGACACACGAGGTACTGCTTTGTGCTCCACTTGTGAGACAAACCAAAACCCACAGTTCCCAACGGCACGCCTCCTGTAAGACCATCGCTCCACCTAACCGCGACTCTACCTCGCGAGTTCATTTCTCCTGCTGCTGGTCTTGTTTTACAGCAGCGTTTCTCCCAGTGGTTTTCTGAAGGACAGCTGGAGGATCAGAACCTCAGAGGTGAGGTTTGAGGAGCGACACGCCATGAAGCCAGGGCCTCCTCTTGTTCATGTGGGTGCCCTCATCTGCAACCAAATGAGCGAGAGGAGACCAAGGGCCGTTAATTTTCAGTCACCTGTAATAAAGAGCTAACAGCTTGTCAACAATGGTTAAAAAATAAAGGGAAAAACCAGGGTGCGCGGTGGTGGTGGTGTTGGGAGACCAGAGCCCCGCAGCGCTGGGCGAGCTGGAGCCACCCCCAGCCTCCATGGCCCCGAACCACAGGGCTGGCTGTGGCCACCTAACCCACGCGTGATCACATCCCGCTCCTACACGAGCAAAAGGCTGTCTCGGTTTGTTGTCAGGGCGTGCTTTCCCTTTTCACTCACCTGGCTCTGGCTGTGCAAGGCATTCGCTTTTACTGTCCCTGCAATTAGTACAACATACCTTGTTTTATCTGGAAACAAAACAAAAGACGGTTTTACAAAGAACCCTTATTTATTGTCATTTTTTTTCCAGATACAAAGCTTAAGCAATTTAATTACTTTTCTTTTTTCCTTCAGACAAATGGCTATGCAACATTACAGCCAGTATAGGTAAGAAATCCTCCCTCCTGTTTCTTCCTGGCTTCTGATTTACACGAAGCACGCTCAGTTAAGCGTTCATACCCAGTCTGTCGTGCTGACTGGCAGCACCACACATACAGATAGCAATGAGCTGACTGTCATAAGCAGTCTTTTTCAGCTCCAGCCGCCAGGATATGTTCAGCATAATACACATGAGCAAACCGGGGTAAAGCTGCACCGATCTGTTGAAACTTCTGCTAATTATACAGCTTCATGATGAGTAATGCAGCCATTATTAAAGCAGCAATACTACAAGATTTAATAATTATACTGAACTGCCCACCCATCTGACTAATTAAAGCCTGGATATTCTGCATGTCCTTAAACCCAAAAGTAGACAAGAGTGCACAAAAAAGCAGAAACAAGCAAGTATACTAGCAACAACAAAGCAGAAATTTGTTAAAAATCCCATCTCAATTTGCTACCGATTCACCCAGGTCAGATTAATCTCAGAGCTTCACCAAAAAGAAAACACACAGCCACTTGGGCAAGAGAAAAAAACGGACTTCCAGAAGGCAGTGCAATTCATCTACCTGTCTCTCGGGTATCCTAAGGTTCTTTCAGGGGGGAGAGGAGAGCCTCATTAAACATGCCAGAGGTGGGCTTTCGGTGTCATTAAACAGATCTGCAGGGGGTTTCTGCCAAATCCCCACGTTCTTCAACAGTAGCATACCTCTAAATACATCTTTCAGAAGCAGGAGGTGAACAGAGACAGGGAATAGTATTTACTTTGGGAAAGTATCAGTCACATGCCTTGTATATATTAGCAGGTTAGACCCAGGAGAGTCAGCTGAATTACTTGTGACCAAAGAAAACAATTAATCAACAGTTTTAAGGCTTCACAGAATTTTAAATATGTATTTACATGTGGTGTACGCTATTTATTTTGGGTATCTTTAAATGTAGACTCTGAATTCAGTCTCAAGGTTGTGGCTGGCAGGTATTCTCACATAGAAAAAGATGTTTTGCGAAAGGCTGGTTGGTGATAAACTATTTTCAGAAGAGAAATTGTGGCTTTGGGGATTTGGGGTTTTAATTAAGCTGGTCTGAAAAACAACACAGAGATACCTCTCTACCAAATCACTTCAAATTCTAACCGGTTTTAATATTGTTAGGTTTTGATCAAACTGGCTTTAACATTCTCATGTTTTGAAGTCAGTCTGCATGGCTGTAGTGTAGTTTGTATTGGTAGGGAAGTCAGACAATAAATGACATAACTATTATTGAACGAACAGAAGCTTACGGTGCTGGAAGCCCTTTGGAAAGTGTGCACCATGTTAATAAACCACATAATTTAGATCCTTCCCTGGGAAACGTTCTCACATCAGAGTAGCCCCAATGAGGTCGATAATAATAATCACATCACAGGCAGAAGGCCCTAGGTCCCCAGAAGAAGCCAGGATGATGTCACTCAAAAGCAGGGCGAGTATGGCGTAGGGGTGACTATAGCATCAGGGTGCCCCTGTGTTCAGGTTCGCTCTGTGTTGGGTTACCCAAGGAACAGGCCTCTCCCCCCAAGGGGGCTGCATCTCCCGGAGCCCCCAGGACGAGGAATTTCAGTCCACAAATTAATCCGCAAACTCACCCAAGCAACTGTCAGTGTCTAGGGTCTCCCAGGCTTTCCTTGGGAGGCAGCGGTTTCACGGAAGCTAGACAGAAACCAATGCAGAAGTCCAACTGGAAACCTTCGGAGAAAAGGTGTGAGATTGCCCCAGTACTTTCAGCCGATGCCAAGCAAGCTGCGTGCCCATTGGCACTGCCTGGGACACGCACGGCGTGCAGCACCTGCAGGATGGAGACCTCAACCTTTCCCTGGGAGATCATCCAGGATGGCATTTCTTAACTTTCACAATTACTTTCTTAGACAGACTTGTTTTGAAGCATGCTTTTACCTGCATAAGTGTTCGTATTACGAAAGAAAAATATCAAATAATAACCCACAGAGCTGAGGGTTTTGCCACCCCACAGCAGAGCTGCTTTCAGTTCTGTTGTGCCAGAAGTAATGAAAGCAACAGGACTTCTTAAAGATCACTTCTGTGCATCTTTATTTAAAAATAATCATCCCCACACTCCAAATGATGATGAATTGACATCTGAGCATTCCATAAAACAACAATACAGGCCATCTATTACAGAAAGCAACATTATAAGGACTAGCCAGTGCTCACAGCGGTTCCATGCTTTGCTTTTGGATCCACTCCAGCTGGATGAATAGACAGCACAATTCCCAAAGTGCAGGAATTTTGCTGCTATGAAGCACGCGGAGCACAACAATCAAGCCTCGGCTTTGTAATGATAGCATTTCAAAAAATGGCCATTTATTTTAAAATAGTCTCTGTGGTTTGTAAAGCTGTTTCTGCAGAGTGCAGAGGACAAAACGCATATACTTTCACAGGCTTTCGGCTGCTGGCCCAAGTGCAGAAAAGGATTAAGACAAGACAGTTTGAATCTACGTGATGCAAACTAGAAGAAATGAGGAAGATGGCCCTGAAAGCTATACTTTGTCTTCTCCTAGAAGAGGCATAATGAAAACTAAGTGTTTTTTCACAGCTAACAGGATCCAGCCAGACTGCAAAGGTGTAAGCACGGGAGCAGCCAAACAATAGCTCTATTCACCTGCAAACAGATTCTCCAAATCTGGAGTCTCACTTTCTGGGTTCCCAGACTGAGCCACGGGCCTCGAGTTTAATTGGGGTATCTAAAAAAAAAAAGAGCATAATCCAAATTATCAGTTAGTTTTGATAATGCAGGCCTTAGCAAGGGAAAGGACAGCGGCTGAGCCAAACCTAGCAGAGACAGTGTGCTGCATTAACCCAAAGATATCCCCATGGGCACACAGTGAAGATGAAGATGGATGTAGGAGCCTGTAGGGAGAGGGAAAAAACTATTACACCGGTTTACGAGTATTTTCTAAGTACCGCCTGGCACTACAGTTTACAAAGGGGGGGAGCCAGACGACACCTCCAACGTGATCCAGGCGGAGGCACGGAGCCGGGGGACTCCATGGTGAGCCTCGAGGGATGCTGGCACAGCCTGGCTGCAGACGCAGCCTCTGCTGGAGTCGTGTGCTGGAGCAGGAGATCTACCCTTGAGAAGTGAAATCGAGCATCCCTGCTTCTGCCCTGTGCGGGAGCACAGAGGAGCCTGTGCGTGGGTGAGGAGAGGGGGAGAAGGGGAACAGGAGCAGTGCATGGCTCTGGGGCTGCTGTTCAGAGCCTCGACTACCCCAGTTTCAGTTTGTCCTAGCTGAGAGTCAAACCCACGCTCTTCTCACCACAGAAGCCACATGACTAACAGCCTAGCCCCGAGTAACAATGAAGTAGGCACAAGAAATTAAGGTGGAGAAGGGTGCTCCTCTTGCTTGTATCCTCTGGCTGTTTTTTTCTGAACAAAAATGTCCTCTGGCCACTCTGGTGACTAAGTTTACCATTTTGGAATCGGCTCCACCACGCCCGCTGGGTGCTGAATCAGTGGGAGTTATACAACTTCACTATTTACAGGCAGTTTGATCTGCTTACCTCTGCTCTGCCGCTCGCAGAGTGCGCGGCTGGTTTTTCAAGACGAGGTAGCTATCGACAGGGATGAAAGTGGTTCAGAGAAGGAATACTTTGTCTTTCAACTTGGTGAATAAAAATTCACGGTAGTGACGACAATGACCAAAGAGAAAGAGAGGAACAAGTTTCAAATCAGAAGTCAACGCAGAAGTGATTTGGTAACAAACCTCTATACAAAAAGTCACAGCGCATGCAGGTTTCCATAAATGTTACCACAAAGCCTCCCCCAGCTCTACTGTAGCAATTCAAATAAACAAATATACACGTAAATCCTTGAACTCACTTCCTAGCTTAGCCACAGAGGGATGGACATGCCCACTGGCTTGAGACCTCAGAAGCCTCACTCAGCTGAACACTCAGGGTTCAGATCTGTCTACTGCAGATCTCCAAATGACAGAGAGGTGGAAGGGCATTTGTAGAAATTGTATTTCTCGCCAGTGCAATAATCCTGAAAGATCAGGACCAGACTGTATTTTTGTGCCTACTGGTTTTTGTGCGATCAAAATTGTCAAGCTGAAGGTAGGAAGCTCACCAGGCTTAGCAATTAGGTCCTCTCTCGGCGTGCTGTAAACTGGACGCCAAAAATCAGTGGCCAGGTTTGAAAAAGTTGTCCTTAATGAGAAGCAAGAAAGGTCAAATGTACAAACTCTGTTACTCATTGGGATTTATTTGCTCAGTTCTAATTTTAACTTTGGTTAGCCCAATAAGAGGTATCACATCACCGTCTGGGTAGCTGTCATACAAAAAACAATGCAGCTACCAACTTTCCTCCATTGGATGACATACTTGGGCAGTAGCCCTTCAAAAAAAAGCTTCAACTTCTTTAGAGCACATTTGGTTTTCCACTCATCATTTTCCTGATGCTGAAAGCAATGTTATTCATCCCAGAGAAGAACAGCTACATTGTATTTCAAAGGTTTAACCAAAACACTCCTTCTGCTACAAGTTTTCCTTCTTTGAGGATTTTAAAATATATCTACAAAGTGGCTGCTGGGCAGTATCATCAATTTATGGTTAATAGGATCTAATAGAAAAAAAGGACAAAAGGGAAAAGAAACGAATTACGTGATTGCAAGAGTGACTGCTATCTACAAGAATGTGGATGACGAGAAGGAGGACTAACAGGAGGGACTCCTCTCCCCACGAGATGAGCTAACGATTGCTGAATGTGGAATGACTTTGTTAAAAGAAGAGACAAAAACAGAAAAATAAAATCAATTCTTAATACACTATGTGTGTACCATCCACAATCTATAACCACCTACACACTCACAACTCTTCCACCTTGTTTTTGCAAACCTCACCTCTAGCACTTACATCAAAGACCACCCTTTACCTTCTCCAGCCCTGCTTTCCTGCAGTGAGGAAGCATCATCCACTTCTGCTTGGACCTTGTTTCCCTCTGACTCTTGACTTGTAGTCGTGTGGGACTAGATAGGTACAACAGACACGGCAATCATAAACCATTAGCGATTCTGAAAGGCCAGTCATATTTTGCCCATATTCTTCTTTGGTTGTTTGGTCACACATTTACAGTCTTCTTTCACTAATGTCAAGCTGGTTATCATCACTGCATCCAGCCCTGCTGCCT